TTTGTATGTGCATGTGAACCACTTACTTCTGTGTAACTAAAGAAGGCGTAGAGAATCTGCCACACCAGAATGACTGGACACAGCAGCAGATTGGCAATCCCAATCCACAGAATGCGGGAGGCCAGCCTGTCTGCCAGCTCAAGCCTGTTACCTCCTCTCTTGTATTCTTGTTTCAGGCTCCACTCATTCTCAAACAGAGAGCCTACAGACCGATCATAAAAAATAAATAAGGGAGGATAAAAGAGTAATGTAATTCTAAACCTTGACAAAATACACACATCAGTGCATCTAGTTCATTTCCCCACTGAAATGCAGACACATACTGTACATATATAATGAATCACATAAAACATGGACACACCTGGCCCCCAAAAGAAGATGAGCTCAAAATTGTATTTGAGACCCCGCGTGAAGAACACACACTCCCCGAGTACAGGAGGTCGAAATCGCACAGGAAGGAGTGATTTGTTCACCATGGCAACCTAGAGAATTACAGGAAGAAAGCGTCTCATTATGTTTGCAAGTAGCTGTGTCAGACATAAATAGTTCAGCAACCAAACACTGTACCATGTAGTTTTTAAAGCGGAGAATGCGGTGGTAAATGTCAAGCTCTGTCAGTTCTTTTTTATGGATGCAGATCTGGTGTTCCTTCTGGATCTCCACTATCCTGGCCTGGACCTCCTGCCATGTTGCATAGGGGAGTTCTGACTGAAAGGACAAAAAGCACAGTGAAGGTTAGTGTGTATATAATAATACTAAATCTGCCAAACCAATCTTCAATACCCCACTAACAAATGATTTCCTGGCATAATATTGCCTGTCTCACCATGGTCATCTTGAGTGCGTTGATGTAGAAGGATCGGATCTCCCAGTAGCAGCAGACGTTGTAGATGAATTTGACCAGGCGATGTAGCCAAAACACCCCAGAGATTATCAGCACGAAGATCACAAATGAATTGTCTCGGATACTGCAGGAGAAAATGTTTACATTTTTAGCTCTATCAATGACAACAAAGACTTTATTTCACTGCTTTCACTTCATTAGTACGGAAGAAAATACGGCATGAAAAAAGGGCATAATGAATGCTGTAGCTCAGACCGTTCTGAACAGTCATTACACGCAGCATCATTAACTGAAGTAAATAAATCACACTCACCGGGCACTACAGACATCCACTGGGAGGAAGGCATCAGGCAAGGTGACTTTAGATGAATCGGTGTGATTTACAAACTTGTTAGCAAAGAGTATGTCATAGTCCACACAGTTAGCTAAGAACACTGTGAAGCCAACCACAAACAGCAACTGACTGCATGGAGACAGAAGGAAGGAGGAGGAGGGAGTAAGAAAACATACTTAATAAGGCACAACATGAACAAATCTCTTACAGAGATAGGATAGTATACATACACAAGCTCAAAGATCTCTCCCAGCAGCATACAGGTGAATCCATTCTTCTGGTGCAGATTATAGACGTAATGGATGTTAAGGAATACTGTTATTACATCTGAGCTTAGCGATCCATTAGTCTGTATTAAAACTTTAAAAGAATTCAATTGTTAGGGACACAAAACCTTTTAGGAACACATGCCTGAACCACTTAAAAGGATATTCTCTGGAAAAACAGGTCCAGGTTTTCTATGTGGTGCCATTGGGCTGAAAAAAGATTGATGACAAAATCAGTAATGTTGTTGTTATGGCACGCATCGGCGTAAAAGAGGAGGGTGTGTTTCCGTTTGTGTGATAAGGTCACGATTTGTTTGTGATTTGTGTATGCATGCCGTACATTTGGCTCCTTCAGGCACATGCATCAGCAGGTTCTCCTCCCCAGGGGGAGAATCGCTGTAGGACGCCTCCAGGCGCTGGTACTCTGTGTCGAAGTGCGCCATAGTGACATCAGCTTCTCTCTCACCAAAAAGTCGAGCCTGCTGCTACAGACTGGAGCACAGAGAACGTCAGGAAGGCAAGAGGGTTGAAGGTATACAAACGAGTAATAAACATGACGAGGAGAAGGGAACAGAAGAGTGGTATGAGAAGAAAGTGAGGTTTACACATCATATGCTGGTTAATAATCAACTCTCTATGACACATACACACCTTAGGCTACAGCTTCTACTGAGGCTTTACCATGGTGTCTTTGGAAGGCAGCACAAATAATAATAAATGTGTAACTCATTAGTGATTTATTATTGAATATTCACCCTTGTTGGAAAAGTCTACTTTGCCTTATCCTTCTGAGAGGAGGTCAGAGGTCAGTGACAGAGCAGCAACTGGAGCAGGATTTTTGCTGACAAAGGGCTTCAAAACTAGATCCCCCTGGTTAAAGGGCAGCCTCTTTATAAAAAAATTAAACTCTGCTGAGCTACTGAACTCTCTTCACATGTGAGAAAATTTAGAAAGGAGGCAGAAAATCTCTGTTTCTGACTGATGGTTTATCTATATCCAACGACAAAGCTCACTGACGTCACATTTCCTGTGCAAATTAAGTTCGGTGTGTACTTAAAACTTGCGGTACAGCCCCTTAAGGTTAGATGTGCCGTTGTCAGTTAAACTGAAACTAACCAAATAAGTAACTGACAAAGATTTCCACCTCAAGATCTGTCTATTTAGTTATAGTTAGTCTAACAGGCCTCCTTGTAGATAACATTAAACCCACCAGGAGTTCAGCACCCAGCAAGAACTTAGCACAATGAAAATGACTTAAAAAGAGTGTTAAAAAAGTATTTATCAAGAAGGAATCTTATTTACTGTGCACATAAGTTTTACCTAACCAAACTGTAATAATACAATATTGCCTGTCCTTACTCCCCACTTATTACACCACAAGACATGGAGCCTCTCTTGACTTGTAGTTTATACTGTAGGTGGGAAGAAATACTTGAGATACTTACAAATTAAACAAATGATCTACCTACTAAGAGCACATATTAACCACACACACTGTATCTAAAGCAAAACTATGTTGTGGCTTATGTTAGCTGCACAAATAAGCTTACCTCCATTGCAGTACAGTACGTCCTATCCAGCTCTGTTTACTCAACATTCCCAGCTGAAAAAAAAAAGGGAAGAGACATTTCCCTTAAATCTGTCCGTCAATCTGATATATAGGATTACAACAGACTGTAGGAGAGGGCTTTAACCCTAATATTTCTGTTCTGTTGCAACACACAGCGCAGTACAGGTGTCTAACAGCACCACAACAACAGGAATAGCAGGTTGTTGATGAGTACCTTAGCTGTGTGAAAGTGGTAATCAACGACTGATTCAGGTGTTGTTGTTGTCGTGCTTTGACAGCACAGGCCTGCCTCCCTCGCAAGAAAAAAATAAAAAATATGTCACCCCTCAAAATCCGCATGGAGTCCTTACCCTTGTGCCGTTGTGCCTCCGCTGTGCCAGGTTAAAAGAGTGAATCCGCCGCGGTTTTTATCTGACAACCGTCTTGTTTTCGTTTTCTTTACAGCCACTCGACACCAGTTTCATTTTCGAAACAGCTAGCAGTGTGGCGTCTGTCACGGCTGAGTGACACGGACGTGATCCAATCAGGAGACGAGTTGTCTAACAGTAGGAGCAGCAGCCAATCAGGTGCGGCCAGAGGGCGGGCTTTAAGAATGTGCTGTGTACATCTGGGGAGTAAGCGACACGCCCTGCTTGAGCCTGGTGAGCCTCCATGATGGGCTCCTGTTCACTCTGGTTTGTCTAATTAAATGGGTGTTTACCACCACCGCCTGGTCGTTTTTAGTAGCACTACAGTACTGTCAGGGGTGCTGTCGTACTGCAAGTGCACTCTTGGTGATGCTGTTATGTGTAGATTCCGCATATACATTGAGGGTAATGATAATTATAATAATAATAATAATAATGCAATGATTCCTCTTATAAAACACCTTTAAATGTTTGCTTTTCCTGTATAAAATGAAACATTATAATAAACTTTTGATCAACTGTAGTACATGATCATACAAATTTGTATTGTACATTCATAGTCCTATATGCCTTTAAATTACAGTGCTGTATTTATATTTTTGTCTTGTGCAATTACATTAATTTCTACACGGTGCCACTACCTCCTGCTGTGACCTGTGCAATGTTCCATATCAATCACATCACGTTGGTATAGAAAAAGCTGTCTATAGTGTACAGATTATATTATATTCTTATTCGATTTCTATTATAGCTATCTTTTCTATTTTATTCTCATTGAATGTGTATTTTCTAATCTATTGTGTCGTGTTGTATCTGGAGGTGCTGTAGCAAGTGAATTTCCCCAGTGTGGGATCAATATTGTCTATCTTATCTTAT